TGAGCGCCCGCCCACAGAGCGAGGCACGCCTGCACCGTGGAAGCGAACAGGGCAGAAGCCAGGCCCGGCCGCACCGGAGGGTGCGGGGGGCACATACCCACGGCGCCCATCCCGGGGCCACAGAGAGAGTGGCCGCAGGGGCCGCTGGCCACAGGCCCAGCGTCGGGCACCGGGCTTGTGAGAAAGGAAGCTGCTTTGCTGATAGGGAGAACACGGGTGAACTCCAGTCTGCCGCCCTGCGGAGAGGAAATGAGGTCATAAAGGTTTTGGGGTTCCACCGCTGACAACAACAGGGTTGAATCTTATTGGCTGACAAGTTAGTCTAACAGAAACAAGGAACTGACTTCAGCTGGCCACGGCAGGGTGCGCAGGCAGGGGCGGGGAGCCTGTGTCAGTCCGCGCGGGCTGAGTGTGGCCCGGCGCGCTCGGGGCCTCCGTCTCGCTCCAGCCTTGGGCTCAGCTCGAGATGAACTGCTTCCGCTCACCTCGGCCGAGCCTTTCGCTAGCAAGGCCCAGGCTTTATCTGTGAAGCAAACCTCAAAGACAAGGTCAGACGGGCTTTGGGTGTGCGCGCCCTGGGCGTGCTCTGGAACTGAAAGCAATTGGGGCGTTTGGTCATTGGTTACAAACTCATCCAAGCCGGCAGCAAGGAAACAAATCCCCGAACCCCAAAATTACGCAGAAAATCTAAACAGTCACTTTCGCAAGAGACAGCCACAGCCACAGTGCGCCTCAGCACTGACCGAGGAAATGCAGATCAAACCACAGAGCTCCCCGACCCCTGTCCTGGAGCCGGCTCCCAGGACCAGAAAGAGCCGGGCGCAGAGGCGAGGAGGAGGGGCGCACACCTGTCCGGGCAAGGTGGCCGCGTCCAGCCCGTGTGGGAAACAATTCGAAGGTTTCTCAGAATATTAAAAAGAACTGGGACCTCCCTGGTGGCGCAACGCGTTAGGATGCAGCAGTGCAAGCTGACTGATGTTTAAAAAACACGTCTGCCTGTGCACGTCCAAGATGAGGCTGTAAGATCATCCTGATCTCCTGGGGCTGAGAGACGTGCTGGGGGCGGAACTTTCACCACAAAGCCCGGGAGGCCTGGGGGAGTCAGGACGCGCCGGCTCTGGTGGGTTGTTCGCTCAGGCGGACGCTAGCTGTCCTGATGCAAGTGGCCCAGAGACCCCCGAGCAAGAAAGTGAGGGAGACCGATGGGATGGTCACAGCCAGCGAGGAGCAAAGGCTCGGGTCACCAGCCCACATGCTCACTCCTGGACCCGCAGGTGTGGCCACGCCCCTCCGGGCAGCTTGACTTCAACCTTGAGTCTGACCGCTCAGGTGACCCAACATTTCTACCCACAGAAACTATGAGATAGTGTTTATTGTTTTGAGTTGCTAAATTTTAGGGTAATCTGTTATGCAGAAATAACTCACGCATCGCATCGGTGAAAGGAAGGGAAAAGCGGAGAGGTGGATTCCGGGGAGTGACATTAGCTTAGCTCCGGCAGCTCTGGGCAGTCCAGCCAGGGGCACCCACTTTGGATACTGTGATAGCAGGCACTTTTTCCCATCAATATGTTTCAAAAAATAGAATTTTGCCAAGAGCTTATTTAGATGCTTTCCTGAGCACAGATCACTATGACTTTTAAAGCTTCTCAGCAAAAAAAAAGCCTCCCGAAAAATTCGACTTGAAAGGATGCCTCTATCGTTCTGATCAGGTGTCTTTAGGGAAGAATGCTACCATGATGTATTAGGATGTATTCTTCTGTGGGGACGCCTTCATCTGTATGAACGTATTTTATTATCAAATTCACAACTGAGCTTCAAAAAGTGGCACTGAAGCCTCGTTGACCTTGTGCCACTGTTCGCTCGAGTTTCACACCGTAATATGCTGGAGCCAAGTAGACTGTCAGCTTAACCAAGCATCTTAGAGGTCGTCCCGTTTCTTGTTAGCGCTTTTCTTTTCCAGCTGCTCGTTGCAGTCCATCCCATTTGTGGATTATTCCAGCCCATCCCAACCGGGTCCCCCGTGTATGTTTCTGCACTGGACTTCTCGTCCACTTTTCACTTACAACTTTTTTTCTTCCAAGATGTATGTATGTATTTATTTATTTAAGCATAAACTGGGGGGCAGGTCAGAG